AGAACAAAAGGGACTACCAAAAGGGAGCCTGACACTGGGCCTGCTTACTAGCTCCACTTCTCATCCCAGGTTTAACTGGATCCTGTGAGTGGAGCCCTGAGCATCCTCACCTGATGAATCAGATATGTGATCTGGTGTTTCCTCCGCTGCTGGCCAGTCGGCTGCTCACCTTTCTTCTACAAGGGAAAACAAAAACAAGCCAAGAACACAGTCCTTAATCCACAGATAGAAAGACACGAATTTCTCATGTGCCAGGACAGTGTAAGGCTGGTGAACTGAGACGCTAAACATACAGCCTAAATCTGAGAAAAGTCAACTTGGAGCTATTTCTGTGTCTACACACTTTACAAAGCAGACATTTTATTAGCGTCCACCATCATGAGAAACAAATCTAAGCTGGGAATACTTGCTAGAAATAGCCTGTTACTTCCCCAACTGACTGGCTACACTTAGAGGTCAGGACTGGGATTACTTGATCTCCTTTGTAAGCCCTGCTCTATCTCTAGCCCAAGCCCTAGGCTCTGCCTGTGGACACTGGCCTGTAGGAAGTCTAGGACAGCTTTCTAGCCATGGGTATGTGATCTGCTGGCCTCCTTACTATCCCTCCATCCATCTGCCCCTTATGCCCACTTCATTTCTGCGCCCTTCTCCCCACTCTGGCCAGATGTCTAGTCTGAACCCCACCTACCCCTTACCAAGCCCTCCCATCCATCACCTCTGGCTGAAACTCTACTGTCCTGTCCTAGGACGTGTCCACCACTTCCCTGGGATTACAAAGGTCACAATCTCACTCTTCCTCAATTCATCTTCCAGCCTCCACCAGTAACTACATCTAACTCCAAACCACACTTTGATGCAAACGATTTACTGTCAAAATCTATACTGGTCTGAGCTTTCACTGTGTGGTTTCTCTGTCCTCTGCCAGAGCTGTCTCGGGCTGGAAGCTTCCTCGCCAGCCCCACCCAACTCTCAAAAACTCCTCCCCAGAGTCTCCTCAGCACTTATGTAATCAATTTGCACTGTAATCATTTACACTCAAGTGTCCTTAAATCTCTTCCCAACCATGCTGTCAACTTCTTGGGGATAGGGGACTGTATCTTTTCTTCTCTTCTGAAAAGCAAGCTCAACAAAATGAAATGAGACAAAAAGCTGGAGCTGGGAAAAGACCAGATGCTAATTGCTTGTTGCTACTGAATGTCATTAAATGTTACAATTAAAGAAGATATACATAAAACATTCTCTCCATTCCACAGTGAGCACTCATACCAGCAGCTACTTGTGTGACGGGGCCTCTCAAGCCCAAGTTAGCAGAGCCCTTTCTCCTAAGTGGTTTTTCCAGTAAACAGTGATAGATCTAAGCTGCTCTAACCACAATCCTTTGCTCTATCCTGTATGACCGCCAACATTCAGTTAAAATAAATGATGGGGGCCTGGATGGCCATCTGTGACCATAGAACAAAGAAAAATCAAGGGGGGCGGGGTGTAAAAATCCTTGACCTTGGTGTTGCCGGCACGAAGCTCATATTCAGCCACCCCCACCCATGGCCAGCTCCTAAGTGTCCACACTCGCTGTGCCTAGTTGCTAAGTGAAGACACATTCACCATACTGACTAAAGAAAATAAGCACAGGGAGGCCAGTGGGGTGGGAAACAGGAAGAAAAGCATTCAGAGAGAGCAGCTGGCTACAATGAACTATGGAGACAGTGGCAAGAGAAGAGCAGTATGCCTGGCACCCAGGGCCTACAGCCTCTGAAGATCTGCTGTGAGCGCTCCCCAAAGGCTGAGCCAGCTCTCAGAGTCAGAGCTGGAGACTGATGTGATTACAGGGAGAGCAGCTGTAGATTCTGACCAGTGGGGAGAACCACACACACCAGAGACCTTCACAGAAGCTGTGAAAATTCTATCAAGTTCTGAAAGGCAGTTTTCCCATGAAGCTTGTATACTCCACTACCTTGGGCAACAATACCTGCTAGAGGTGTGTCAAGTGACAACAGGTCAGCTGGGGCGCAGGCCACCCCAGCGGTCCCCACACTTACCTTGCTGAAGGACTTCATGGTCTTCTCTTCCGTCAATGACTTGGTCATCCACTGCTGAGCCCCACTGAGCTGGTCATCCCCTTTGATCTCCACAAAGTTGATTTCCTCCCTCCCTCGATTCCTCTTGCCCTGCAGCCGCTTAAACTGCAAGTAAATAAATAAACAGAAGCAGAATTGCAGAGGTCTGGAATGGGGGTGAGGACAGCAGGAGACACTGCTAAGGATCCAGAGTCTCCAGAGCATCGGCTCTCAATGTGTGGGTCCAGACCCTTTGGGCTCGCATATCACATATCCTGAATATCAGCGAGTTACATTACAATTCATAACAGCAGCAAAATACACTTATGAGATAGCAACAAAGTAACTTTATAGTTGAGGATCACCACACACGAGAGACTACAGGAGGCTGAGCAGCGCGGCTCTGGAGCAACGCTGGGACCCCAGACACACTGTGCCCTCGGCTTCCCCCTGTGGATACTTCCTTGTCCCTGCCATCCACTAAACGTCTACAGTGCCAGGGGACATGGGCTTCTCAGGAGGGCTCTTGGAGTCAGAGCCAGGTGGTCAAGAGTATTTGTAGAGATCCAGGGATACAAACCAGATCACTATACCTGCCTGAAAAGTCTACCACAGCTTTCTTCCTTTCTGTTTTGGACACAACCATGATGGCCTCAAACTCAATAATCCTCTTGCCTCAGCCTACCAAGGACTAGGACAACAATTTTTAAATTAAGAATTGAGGGTAGCGCTGGGCGGTGGTTGGTGGCACACGCCTTTAATCCCAGCACTTGGGAGGCAGAG